GTCTCCTTGAGGCGGTAGCGCTTGAGCAGGGCGACCTTCTCCTCCCTACTGAGGAGGACGTGACGGGGTACGAGCTCGTGGTGCGTGATGTTGATGAGAAGGTCCTCCTCGAGGAACCACTCGATGGAGGTCCACTGGGCGAACTTGGCGATCTCCTTCTTGGCCGAGGCCGACACGGCCACGTGCGATACCAGGATCCCCGTGCTGTGGTTCTCCTGCGCGCAAAACTTGCCGAACTTGCGCATGTGCTCCGCTCCCAGCGAGTCCTCGTTGTGGAACTCGACCCATATCGTGCCAACTTCGGCTTTCGGTTCCGAGCTTGACGGCGTGGTGGGAGAGGCCAGTTTCTTCATCATCTCTGGGCTCGGCCGCGCCGAGAACTTGAGCTTCGAACGTCTTTGTAAGGTAAGGCGTAGGTTAGCTAGCTATTCCCATCGGAGATAGGTTGCCTAGTGTTCTCGAATACGTACACGACAGAGCCGTCCATGTTGCAGTAGACGTTCTTGAACGACTCTAGCGAGATGTTGACTTCTGTCTCGGAGAGTTCGTATCCCTGGCAGCGCATTAGTACAAATGTCGTGTTTGCGCGGCAGACGTAGCAGGCTTGAAGGTCATAGTCGCTTTCTTACTCGGTCTTGGACCATCTCATGAACGGTTCTCCATGCTCGCCACGTCTTGACCGCGGTCTTCTCGTTTACTTCGTTGTTAGGGGAGTTTTCCTGGTCCGACATCGTGGAAGCTACGCGGCTTTAGATATTTGGTATTCGAATGATTGGAGTTTGTAGTCGTGCAAATGGTTCGTCGCGACGCTTTTACGAGGTGGATGCCAGAGTTGAAGAATTGACAAGTAAAGAAAGACAATGCAAGTTCAGCCTTGCGTTACGAGGATGAAAAATTCCAAGGTATTTCGTACCTGTCTGGCTTTATCTGCAGGGGTTGATGCAGATAAGGTACGTACCTGTCAATTGTGGCCAGTACGGATTACCTACCCTTGCATCGGTGCAACCCACTAGTCACACAGTAAGGCTAGTAAGCAGATTGGTGGGACGTTGAGTGACGGGAGAATCTCGGTTACATGGACTTGTAGAAGAGCACAGTGCACAGTGCACAGGCCACACAGGCCACTGAGCCCGCTAACAGCCACAGCCACTAGTAAATTCAACTAGGTTAAAGTCCATTGTTGAATCAAAATCACTTTTTTTTTATTTTTAACCTAACTAGTGGTCCGACTCCGAAATTTTCCTCTGCTGAACCTGGCAGGCCTTATAGGACCCTGAGATCTGGCCTCCTTTCCCCTTGGTATCTCTTGGGTTTGCCAGTCACCTTTTTATGACCTATCTTCCTACCTAGGCATCACTCTTTTTCTTTTTTATATAATAGATCAAGACTCACTCTCTGATCCTTGTCATTTTACCTTATTCCATTCATCCTCTAACCCGTCCCTACGTTATAGAGAGCGACCATGGCTGAGGTAGCTGCTTCACCCACTCCCGCCCCGGCGGCCGAGAACAAGAAGCCTGAGAAGCCCAATACTGAGCTCTTCCAAGAGCAATTGGCTAAGGCCGAGAAGGAATACCAGGACTCTTTTGCTAGATACGTAAGTTGCGCATCCAAAATGAATTACGGGTAGAGGTGCATAGATATTAATAGTAAGATATAGAATGCTGTTAAGCAAAAGGTCGAGCTCGTCACGGGAAACAAGAACAAGGACACCCAGTCCCCCCTCCAAAAGCGCCGCCAGGAACTTATCGCTCAAGCCAATGAAATCCGCAACAAGCAAGGCGCCGGCAAGAACACTCGCAACACCAAGCTGGATCAGATCAAACGCCTCGACGAACAGCTGCGATCCCGGATCGCAGAGCAGAAGAATGCGCGTGGCAAGGTTAACTTCAAGAGCGTCGAGGATCTCGACCGCGAGATCGAGCATCTGGAAAAGCAGGTCAACGGCGGCATGATGAAATTGGTCGACGAGAAGAAGGCTCTAGCGGAGATATCTAACCTCCGAAAGCAGCGCAAGAACTTTGCCCAGTTCGATACTTCGCAGAAGGGAATCGACGAGCTCAAGGCTAAGATCAAGGAAATCAAGGACAGCATGGACGACCCCGAAGCCCGTGCGCTAAGCGAACAATACACCAAGATCCAGGCCGAGCTTGACACCATCAAGGCAGAGCAAGATGAAGCGTTCAAGAACCTGAATTCTCTGCGCGACGAGCGAAGCAAGCTACAGGCCGAGCAGCAGGAGAAGTTCCAGGCTATACGTAAGCTTAAGGATGAGTACTACAGTGCGAAGAAAGCTTTTGGCGAGTATGAGCGCGAAGCACGCCAACGAGCCCGAGAACGACAGAGGGCCGAGCGCGAGCGCATCGAGAAGGAGAAGAAGAAGGAGCGCGCGCAGAAGCTGCTCCAGGAGGCCAGCGACCCTGCCTATCTCGAGGAGATCCGAAGAGCCAACAGTCTCCTGCAATACTTCGACCCGTCCTCCGCCCCTGCTGAGAAGGCTCCTCTTCTAGCTGACAGCGGTCTGAGCGCTCAAGCTTCGCGTAAGGTTGACGACTCGGGCTTGAAGGGTACTAGGTTAGTGCGAAAGGAAGACCGTGGCGACGATTACCTACCTGCCGTGAAGAAGGGCAAGAAGGGTAAGAAGGGCAACCACGTCGAAAAGGCCGGCCATGCTGAAAAGGGCTTCAACCTGCCCCCTGCTGTTATCGATGACTGCTCATTCTTGGGAATTAACCCTCCTATGGGCTCTGAGGACGTTGCTGCTGCTGTCGAGAAGGTCAAGGCTAAGTTAGAGCACTGGAAGTCTGACCAACAAGCCCAAACTCAACGTGTAAGTTGCGTTCTTGGAGTTTACATTATAAAATAGTTATCGCTAACGAAACTTAGAACATCGAGAAAGCCAAGAAGGAAATTGAGAAGATAGAAGCCGAGGAGGCTGCTGAGGCTTCCGGTACCGCAACCCCTAACGGTGTCAATGGGGACAAGAAATCTGACGATAAGGTGGCAGCCGTCACGTCGGATCTAAAGGAGGCATCATTGGAGGAGAAGTCGGCTTAGAAGTCCACCGCGCCATTAATTGCCAACCACCAGTCAGTCGAGGTTATTTAAATGGATTCTCGGATCGGGGAAAAGAAAAAAAAGCCTCCACCGCGCCACGCAATATCTAAACCCGATTTCCTATTTAAGAGAGGAAAGACGAATTGCTGTTTTTGGTTTTCTTCTCAGGTGGGACGAGAAATGAATGAACAAAGGGGGGGCTGGCTGGCTATAGGGAAAATAAATTTTCGAGGGTTAGATTTCACAGCATCATTACCATGTATTTAGCACAGCATTCAAACGCTTACCTAGCTACCCTATTCCCGCATCTCTCACACATATTATACATGTATATCACCGCCCGTCTCGTGTGACTCGTTCCCGCCTATCTATCCTTATGGTACTGTCCCTCTGGCTTGGTCGAGGGTAGTCGCCTCTGATCATATCAATGTAGGCAATTAATATATTGGTATGCAGCAACAGTATACGCTAGATATTCGATGTATATATAAAATATAAAATAGTAAAATCACCAACCAAGCAAACAAGCTAGCGGCATCGGCCGAGCAGCCTCGATTACATACATACATTCATACATACATCCATACATACGCACACCCGTCCCCCCATTCGGCGAGCTGCCGTTCGCAAGCTATGTCTCATGTCCTCTGCTCTCCCTATTACGTGATCCTCGCGGGACCCTATGTATATTATTTATTTGGTTTTTGGGGTTTTTTTTTTCGGTCTGAACAGGTTCGTTGATTCGCCGTTGCTGGGGGTTTCCCACCCACTAATACATACATACACACATACATACATACATATACATAGAGCGATTGGGGGGGAGGAGAGGTGCTGGTTGGTTTAAATGGGATGACTGACTTAGTCGTGCATGGGCAATGTCTCATAAAAACATTAGGTCGGGTCGGGACCCCCCCCCCCTCTCTATCGTCCCAAGTGCTCGTGTTGTTTCGTCCCGGCAGATGCGGATCCTGTGGAGATGGGGGCAGATGGATGGATGGATGGATGGATGGATATACATATGTATGTATGTTCATGTGTGTATACATAGATAGGTGGGTAGGTAGGTAGGTAGGTAGGTAGGTAGATATGATACGTCTACGATGACTGCTTGTCTAGCAGGTAATGCATGCATTCACATGCTCGTACTCATATCTATGAACTTTAGTCTATGGACTTTAGGTATGTAGGTAGGTAGGTAGGTAGGTAGGTAGGTAGGTAGGTAGGTAGGTAGGTAGGTAGGTAGGTAGGTATACGGATAGTACACACATACAGACATTCAAGGTTGTTCGTAGCTCGCGAGTCGAAACATCATGTTATATCAGCAGCTCATACAGGCGAGCAAGAGCACGAAGGTGTCGTGTAGAAGAAGAAGAAGAAGAAGAAGAAAACGCATCTATACCGATCTATCTTACCACTGGGTAGGTAGGTAGGTACCTATCCAACTACATCTCCCATCACGCAGCATCAAGTCCCCTAGCCCAGCAAGCTCGCTCGCTCGCTCCATCATCGACACCCCTCCCTCTCACCCCTCGCTAATTTACCTCCCGAGCCGGAGGCCGCTTATCATATATCACGTATATATGTACGTACGTACATGTATATAAAAGGCTCGCCCACTTCCCGTCGCCTACGTGTCAGCCGCATCGCCATAGGGCGGGGGAGCACCGAGACGCGTGACTGAACGGCAAGCTACAGCTACAGCAAGCAGAAGCAGCTCGAAACTCACTCACTCACTCACTCACTCCTGCTGCCGTACCCTACCTAATCTGATCTGATGCTTTTAATGCCCAGCTGGAGGGTGACCACGTCTGTCTACCCTATCAAACCAAGTCCGAATACAAAGGAGAGAAGAGAAAAAAAAAGAAGAAAAAAAGCGCACATGCGTTTGCCTGCCAACGCCCATATCCGTGGGTCGTTCCGAGCCATGATTTGACTAAGACAATGTTTCATTAACTTTGTTGTATATTGATCTGACTAAAGTACCTCGCTCTGCTATGCTCTGCTCTGCTCTGCTCTGCTCTGCTTGGATGATAAGTCGATAGGTATATCGTAACTCCGCTCTCTCCCTCTCGCGCAGGTAGAAAATCTCCGTCCCTATGTGCCGACAGCGGGCACGGACAACAAACACATCACAGAAGTGAAACAAGTGAGCAACCAAAAGGCAAGTGAGAAATAAAGCTTGCCGGATCCTTGCCCTTGCTCGTCCAACCAATACCCATGGAACACTCCGTACGCCCAATAGAATCCCGGGGAAGAAATTGCCACCCGTCCTAGAAATGACTCCCAAGGTCGAAGTAGAACCAGCTCCTCAAGGAAAACAGGAACAAAATGAATAGAATATGTGTTGAGTTGTGTCTTGTGTGTTGTGAACAGTTTGTCAAATAGAGCAGATGTCTCGCCGCTATGCAGAAAAGAAATGGTATCTGGGACGTTTTCCCTCCTTCCATCCATGCAACAGATACGGTAGTCATGATGCGCTTTCGTGGTCTCATGAATAGGTTAGGTAGTTTGGTTCTTCTTTTCGAATTAATTCAAAGAAATAATAGAATATGTCGTGTGTAGATATGCAAGTTGTGCTGTGATCCAATTTTACAAGAGTGGCGGAAGGGGCAGGATAGTCCAGGCGTAAAGCTGTCGAGGTCACGGCTGGCCAGATGAGATAAGCTCCTAACCATCTTCTCCAACTATCACTCCAACTACGACTTAAGTCAGTAGGTCTGGAAGTAAGCAGTCGGCGGTGCGGTCGGCGGCCGGTAGGTGCTATGCCTTCTTTGAGGACCGGGTGGCGGTGCAAGTGGGTTCGCAACCGGTCCCGGCGTCCTCCTATCTATCCTGTCAATCCTGTCCATGGGGGGCGGGGGTGTCCTTCTTGCAAGAGGGTTCCGTTCCCGCTCCCTCTCGTGGAAGGTATCCCCTGCCACCGTAGCCGTTGACGCACCGCCCCGTCTGCTGACCTTCCGTGATCCGCTTAAGGCACTCAATGGAGGGTCTTTGACTGCAGGTTCGTCATCGGGTGGGAGGGTCAGTTCCACCAAACTGTAAAAGTATTCTAGCACTTCTGGATACCGCTGAACGCTAGATTGCCAATCCTCGTCGATTCCTCTCTTCAGAGTCGCTTGGGCCGCGGCAATCTCGTTGGGGTGCGGGGGGGCGTGGTAGTAGTGGTATGCGTGGGCTGTTAATCGTTCAAGATGTTGCGAATGTGCAGCCTTGCGTCGTTCCGTGAGCAGCCGGAAATACTCGAGTATGTAGTCCTGAGCGTGTGCTCGAACCCACGAACTGGTGCAGGTTTAGTAGGCTGCTATACGAAGGCTTAAGAACCGCCCGGGGATAGGCACGAAGCACTTACCGTACGTCATTATATACGGATTGCATCATGCGGGACTCTGCTTGCTCGACAGCAATCTCGAGCCCTTTCGCCTCGCAATCGCAGGCGAGGCTGGCAGGAGCGTGGCAGATAGCACAGTCCGGGTCCATTCTGATGATGGACTTGCGGGGTTTATGTTCCCTGGTATACATCTTAGCGGCGTGAAGCCGGAGGTGGCGGGCAGGAAAGCCGGTATGTAGAAAATGGTGAACATGGGGCGGAGGTGTAGAGTATAGATGGGATTATTGTACGACGACGCTGTTCACTTGACGACCCGAGAAGGGTCCATGACAAGAGGGAAAGAAGAGGGAAGGAAAAAGGACCGGGGGCCAGGGCGAAGGCACAAGGAGTGACTGACCTGTATTATGAACAATAGCGAAGAAACAACACAGCAGGCTTGACAATGCGCAGAGTCGCAGCAGGACAACGTGGGAGCAAGAGGGGGAATTGGTCGAGAGCGAGAAGCAGTCAGTGGCTAGCTTGAGAAAGTTGGCCTGCAGGAGCCAAAGGCTGACCGCCCTGTTGAGTGCCGCGATAGTCAATTGAGGGCAGCAAATAAGGAACACCGTAGTCAGTTTGCGTCCCGATGGCACCGATATCTGGGCGCGCAAGATACCGCTTGTATGGAGCGTGGGGAACGCGGAGAGCGAGAGAAAATCCAAGAACCCGCGACGGGAGAGGCGAGGAATAGACTTGTCGGTGGATCAACGGGGGGGGCGCTCCCCTATGCGGAAGTGAGATAGTGAGGTTTTGAGAGGCTGGTGCTGGTAATAGACCGTTCTCTTTGGACTAGCAAGACTGCAAGACTGACTGCAAGACTTGCACAAGAGAGAGAGATAGAGAGACTAGGGATTGGGACTTGCAGAGCCTACCTGCAGCATCGACAAGCCCACAAAAAAAGGAACCGGGAAGGCCAATTGCTGGTGGGGAAGATGCTAGACGAGGAGCCCAGCGGAGCCCAAAGACGAGCTTAGCGAGCAAGGAGGTTCGTGAGGGGGGACGACAGTTATGTCCACGTTTGGCCACAAGGAGGAAATATAGCTGTCGTGGCTCGAATGGGTGGCAGGATTACTAGTAGCATGCAGTGTGCATGAGAGTAACCCAATCGAGAGTTTGCATAATCCGGCCGGTCTGGTGTTGCTGCACGAGCCAGTAGCTAATCGAATGTTGGAGAGAAGATGTGACGGGGGAATGTATATGTAGATGGATAGATGTATGTAGTTAAGGTAAAAGGTAAGGTATGTATGGTGTGGTATGGTATGTAAGTATATGTATAAGTATATGTAAATGTATATGTAAATGTAATGTACGATAGGTATTATTTATTATTATGCTGTTAGGCACGTATGTAAGAAAAAAGATGATGATGTGTTTATGTGTTTCTCACTCACCCCTAGATATATTGTAAGACGACGCGTCGGGTTACCAAACGATCACGAGAGGGCGTCGAGATTGATGATAAAAAGGGATGGATGAATGGATGGATGGATGATGGTTGTATGTATGAGATTAGACCCCTACTATGTGATAGCATACCATTCATATATATATTTATATATATGTCGACCAACAGAATAAGAGAGACGATCCCTCAAGCGCTTGCTTGTAGGCTTTGTTTGGATCAGCTCAACTCCAAACGTGGCAGCGGTAGTAGCGGTGGTAGCGGCGGCAGCGTTTGACTACTGATGCTCGATACAAAAGGAGAAGGCCCGCAATCTCGAACAGTGTGTTTGAGGCTCCGAGATGGTCCCATTTGACTGGCCGGCTGCCAAGCTCGAGTTGCCCGCATCTTTGCTAGGACTAGGACCCCCCCAAGTTGTACAGCAGAATAGCGTCTTGTTGGCCCCTAGCATCGACTCACCGCCTTTCGTGCGCATCCAGCGGCTTTTGAGACTCCGGTTGAGGCGAGCCATTGGCGCCTATCAGTCCAGTGAAGTCATCATTTGAACCAACTATATCAGAGGGCGATGACTGATCAGATTAACTACACGTCTTTGAACGGTACTATATTAAGGTGTGCAAAATCTCCTCGATTGGATGTGTTCTGGTGATTTCGCACTTATACATATACATTTGTTGTGTATGTGTTGGTTTTTTAGGTTGGGTTTTTTTTTTGTGCGTGTTGCGCTGTCGTGTGAGGTTGGGTCCCGTCCACATCCCGCCTTCCCCCTTCCCCATTCCGGAAAAGATGTCCCGTCGACCATGTGACCTACCACCACACCTTTAGCCGAAGCCGGCAGCCGGCATTAAAGCTAAAACTTAAAACGAAACGCTAGTCTTGTCTTATCGATAACGCGCCAGCTTATCGCTATCAGATAAAATTTCATTTAGAGAGAATGAGCCGAGGGGAGGGTTCGATCAGGTTATCCAACCAGTTGGAAGCTGAAAAGCGCAACTTTGTAAATTTCACCGACTATGAATTCAATATAGCTTCAATCGATACCCAAGATGCCTCCTAGGTGCTCGCCGGGATCCGGCATATTCCTACCGTTCTTATACCCGACTCTCTTCCGATCCGCTTCCTCGCGTATAATCGGCCGAGCGAGCATTACGACCACAACCCTGCACTCATCTAGCTCCCCCACCCCCTCCTCTTCGAGTAGCACCGAGCTCTCGTCCTCGAGCGACGCCCTTCCGTCCTCGCGCCTCAACCCAGCGCCGGACGACTACGCGATATCGGCCTTTGCGGACAAGGCGCGCATCACGGTGCACGCGGGCAGCGGCGGTCACGGCTGCATTTCGTTCTTGCGGGAGGCGTACCTTGATAACGGTCCCGCGAACGGGGGCGACGGCGGGTATGGCGGAAACGTATATATTCAGGCCGTGCACAGCGAGACCTCCCTGTACAAGCTGGCGCGACGCCGTGTTTTGCGCGCGGGGAGGGGCAAAACAGGGCAGGGAAGCAATCGAGGCGGCGCCCGCGGTGACGATTTCGTCATCCAAGTGCCGGTGGGGACAGTGGTCCGAGAGCTCAACCGTATAGACCCGGTTGTCGAGGAAAACGCAAGGTATCGCGAGGCAAGAGAAAAAGAGCGCGAGTATATGCGACTGGTCAGGGAAGCTGATGCAGCGGTTGCCGAAGCGGAAGATGTAGAAGGTGCTATTCGTGCCGAACTGCCTGAAGCTCCCGAACACCCTCACCTGAACAAATTCCTGCTATACCCCGGGATATCGCATACCGAGCGACGGAGCTTAAGACTTCCCCGCCTCCCGCGCCGCGAGCGCTTGTATGTGCAACCCGATGGGCCCATCTATCTGGACCTATCGACGCCGACGCCGCAGCCCATACTGCTAGCCGCAGGCGGAATAGGGGGTCTAGGAAACCCGCACTTCGTATCGAAGGACCGCCCACGGCCCCTCTTCGCGACGAAAGGCGAACGCGCCGTAAGTTTACAGCTAGAGCTAGAACTCAAGCTGCTCGCAGACGTCGGCCTAGTCGGTCTCCCCAACGCCGGCAAGAGCACGCTCCTGCGCGCCATATCAAACAGCCGTGCCCGCGTCGGTAACTGGGCATTCACGACGCTCCAGCCCAACATCGGCACGGTCGTGCTCGACAACCACAAAGGACGCCCCGTCGTCGCTCCCCCTCAGCCCTCACCCCCTCAACCCCACTCCGTAATCCACGACGCGAAGTACGGGTCGGTAGTAATCTCGCAACGCGACCAGCTCGGCGCGCCAGCAGGCTTCACACCAGAGCCGCGGACACGGTTCACCGTCGCCGACATCCCGGGTCTAATTGAAGGCGCACACCTAGACCGCGGTCTCGGCGTCGAGTTCCTGCGGCACGTGGAGCGCGCAGGCGTCCTAGCTTTCGTCGTGGATCTAAGTGCCGGCGACGCTGTAGAAGCGCTCAAGTCGCTATGGACGGAAGTAGGCTTGTACGCGCGGATGCGCGAGGACGAAGAGCAGGAGCGGGAGGTCGCGGGGCGGATCGACTGGGAGGGGGATGGTAGCAGTTCCCCGAATACCCGCCCTGGGAGCGGTAGGATGGGTTTCGGTGGGCAGATGATTGTAGCGAATTTCCCGGAGCCGATGGCCGGTGGAGAAGGGGGTCTGCATATCGCGGCGAAGCCGTGGTTTGTAATCGCTACGAAGGGCGATTTGCAGGGGACCGAGCATAATTACGCTAGGTTGAAAGAATACCTAGATGCTGTTACCGATGGACAGGAGCCACATCCTAGCGGAGTCGAGGGCGCGTGGGTAGAAGACTGTGCTGCGATACCCGTAAGTGCTATTCATGGACACGGTGTGGATAGAATTATACACTGGACAGTAGGACTACTAGACGAGTGATGAACAGAGTGGTTCAAATCTCAGAGGCCGTTGATGGCTGCATTTTATACATTTGTATGCTGCTAAATCCGGAATTGTATATAATGTACATAGAGAGACTGTTCGTATGATGGACTTCATAACAAGCAAAAATGCGAGCCTCCCTTTTTCAACGCAAGTCTACGTTCCGCTCATAGCTTCGTGTTATGCAAGTCCTCGAATAACTTGAGCTTCAATTCATCAATTCTGATAAATTCAAATCGTTTTAACACGATGGATGAACCGCTAGGTGGGTAACGAACCATCTCTTAATTAGCTTCAACTTCAACGTCTCCCGCTACCTCGTCACCGTTCTTCTCATCAGGCTGCTCGACTGTCTCATTTTCGCCATTAGTTTCCTCGACTGCGGGGGCATCTTCCATGGTCTGATCATCCTTGACCTCATCATCCGCCTTAGTAGCGTCCTCCTTCTTCGCCGACTCCTTCAACGTTCGGTTGATAACCGGTGAAGTATCATTGAAGACGCGGAGAAGCATTGCGGACCGGTCCTCCTTCGGCAGCATTAGGTTCAACGAGTGGAAGCTCTTCCATAATGGAAGCACCATGCGCTCCGAGAAATCCGGATCGCTTCCATCCGGCTCGACGATAAGGATACAACAGCCCATACCAATCTCTTTAGCTCTCTCGCCAATCTCGTTGAGTTTCTTCCAGTCGTCATCGATAAACTTGGGGAACATCTCCTTTAGGAGTCTACGGAAAGTCTCCTTGTTCGTCAGGCGGATGACACGCTCCGGGCCGACGTAGCCTTCGATGATAGGCATACCCTCTGATTGTATTCGCCATCTGCAAACCTCGGCAGACGGTGCATCCTGCTTCATGAACATCTTAACACCTCCATGCACGAACTTGACCCCACGACCTTCGTTTTCAGATAGAATGTCCCTAAGGAGCGCACTTGTGTAGTAGATAGCCTTTGCCGGTTCACCTGTGGCATTTCGTACCATAAATCGATCTGAAGGGAAACGTGGCGATACTTTGTAGAATCTTTTAATGTCCTGAATGACGTGGTGGTCCGGTGGTAAGTACTTGAATGGCTCTTCATAATTGCCATCGGATGGCTTGACTTTTCGGTCGGGTTGGGCATTATTTTGAGCTGCAGTTTCAGGCTCCGGCTTGACTTCTTCTGTCTTAGATTCCGAAGGAGCTTGCTCTGCTTCGGTAACAACTTCAGGTTGGACTTCAAGCTTCTCGCTAGGAGGCGAGGCAGTCTTTTGCTTCTTGGCGTCTGGTTTTGTCTCCGCCTCCTCATCATCTAAAATCCTCTTGGCTCCAATGGTCGGTAGTACATCAGTCGGCTCACCTAAAGCGGCCTTTTCTTCTTCTATCTCTATCTTAGTCTCTGTTTCTGCTTGATCAGCGCCATTAGAGCTAGTAGTATTGGCGGGAGCCCGAGTTCGAGCCTCTGGCTTAGCTTTAAAATCCTCCGACTTTTCTAGTACTGTGATGAAGAATCCACCGGTATCCTGTTGATGGGCGTACACTCGCATGCAACGGTCAAGTTTTAAAGCAGAACATTCGCTAGTATCTGGCCTAGGGAACATGGTTTCTGAAAGCTTGCCGGGTATTTGTCCCTCCGTTGTCAGGACGTGCTGCTGGACTTCTTCCCAGCTGCTCCAAACGCGACCAGACTTATCCATAATTTGCCATTGATGCATTCCCGGGCTTCGCTTCAGCAGAGGAAGTCTATCTTTACAGTCGACAATGTTAATCTTGTCGGGACCGCCGCAGCGCTCGATGGCGGAAACGATAACCGCTTCGTTCTCAACAGGGTTCATGCTGCACGTCGAATATACGACCCTACCGCCAACTTTCAGCATCTGGAGGGCACGAACCAAAATCCGAACTTGAGTAAGATGAAGTCCCAGCGCATTTCCGGGTTGCCAATCCTTCCACAAGTTGATGTTCTTCCTCAGAGTTCCGTCACCTGAACAGGGCACGTCCGCAAGTATCCTGTCAAATCTTAGGTACTGTCCCTTCTCCGGGTGGTTTGGGTGTGGCGGCAGCTTGATAGCCGGGTAAAGAGTGGCGTCGTGGTTAGTAACGAGAAGATTCGGCGAAGAAAGTCGCTTGAGTTGGTGGACAAGCATGTGACTCCTCTTGTAATCCGCATCATTGGCGATGAGAAGTCCAGTTGCGCGACCATCGTCGCCAGCATCCACTGAAAGTTCAGCATCTATGACAATTTGTGACTTACCCTCAGCGAATGCCTGCATGTACTTCTGAATTCTTGCCTCCTCTCCAGCGTGGATCATCTCAAGTAGCTGGGCAGCCTTGCTTCCAGGCGCTGCGCAGAGATCCAGAACAGTCATCCCAGGCTTGAGGTCCATCAGTAGAGGTGGGATCATACTGACAACCTCCTGTCGGCTGATGTTGCCAACGGTGGTCTCGGAAACTAGGAATTTCTGGAAGGCGGCAAAGGGGGGGAACTTGCGAATGACATGCTTAGGGGTATTCATAGAGTAGGCAAGCTGGTCGGGGTACCAAGGGACCGGTTGAGGAGCCTGTACGGGCTCGCCATCATAGCGTTCGATCTTAACAATATCAGGGACGTATCTTGTTTCTAAAAGTCGCTTAACCGCAAGCGCGTGACCTTTAGATCCGCAGAAACGGAATGAATTAGGCAGTTCCCTCTTCAATGCTTCCCAAAACTCGGATCTTTCTTCATCTTCGAGGGGGAGCGCGCTGTTGTAGTACTTTTCTAGGTTTGTGTTCTCCTTCACGATCTCGTTATAGGATCGATACGGCGCGGGACCGTCGCCGCGAGGAGCGCGATTGGAACCGCCTTTGCGACCACCCTGTAGTGAATTGTTAGACTCATTTAATGCGAATACTATATACCATTGAAGTCAATATTTACCCGAAACTTTTTGCGCCCCATTTTTAATAGTTCGCGAAAGCTGTTCGAATTTAGAGCTGTCGGGAACTGTTGCAGGCAGATGTTGAAAGTTTTGAAGTTGAACTTTTGAAGCTCTTCAGCAAAAACAGACGTCTGAGAAAGCTCAGTTGGTACCCCACTATCTTATCTGCCCCACCAAAGCTTTTAGCCCCTCAGTTGATCCATTCAGCCCATTGTTACATATCGTTGACTAGGAAGATACATTATGTAGCTAAACACTAAGTTTCAGTTAAGAGGTTACTTATAGTTGCTTCGTTGAATTTTATATATCCTTCAGAAGGCAATAAGCCTATAGTATTACAAGTTCTTATTCACTTCACACGACAAGCTAAGCAAGTAAAGTGCTCTTTATGAATTGTTCCGTCAGTTTATTAGGATCCCAGTGGATGGGATGTAGAACTAGGGGAGCTATCATGACATTTGCTACATCAACTAGCAAAGCTTGCTGCATATATTGCAAAAGGGAGCAGCCCTAGTGCTACGCATATGCAGCACTGTCTATCCGGATTAAATAAGACCCCATAAGAAGAGAATCTCAAGATCAACGTAACCTACACCCTCCACTTGTCAACTTCTCCCTGGTTAATTCAACCCGAACCTTTCAAAACTTTCAGGGCTTCCTGGAAGTTAGTAATGTCGCGCCCAAGTTTCTCCCTGCGTCGCTTGACTGGCGTATCTTCCGCTGCGATCATGTCTAGCTGCTCTTCGGTGAGGTTCAGCACCATCTCGGTGTTGAAGATCTTGAGTGGGCTGCATTTCCCTTGCAATAGATAGTGATTGACAACCTGCTGACAAACGACGTCGACGAACCGCTTACGAGAGACTTTGTAGTAGCTCTTAAGTATGTCGTGCATATACTCCTGAACATGTTCCGAGTTGGCCATATTGAAAGACAAATTGTTCATTTGCACATCGCTCAGGAATATACCCTTCTCTGTGCGGCTTGTGTTGCCGAGCTTGGTCCCATCTGTTATGGTCACCATTTTCTCTGATCCGAGTTGTCGAAGAGCATCCACTAAACGGCCGCTCTGAGCCTTTTGAAGGGTGTCGTTGAAATAATGATTCAGAGTCAAGGGGGGGCCGTCACGCTCAATTTCGAGTAGGAACATCACATGGTCGATGGCTTTGCGATATGCATCCTGTAGCTCATCAAGAAGATGCCCATTCCATAGCTCTTCACGAACACGTTTGTCAGGGCAGGTTTCTTTAATAGCTTCGACGATGAAATGGTGAACAATCCAAATAACTCGGTTCACGTAATCCAGCGTGATATACTTCCATTTCTTAGACTGCTCCTTGAACATGGTTGAAACAAGGGCAACACCAAACTATCGAACATGTTAGTTAGATAAGATATCACGAGTGTTACACTGTACATACTGTTCCAAGATCTTGTCCACGACTATCTTTATAAACTCCTGCGATATAGTCCATGATATCACCTTCGCCGCTAACGTCTTCCATGATAACGTCTAGAGAATCGTCCAAAATCTCTTCAAGTTCGGGGTAGGTGCCGTCGTCAGGGTTGGGAACCACGTGAGTACTAGTAAGACTAACAACTGGTATGCGCACCTTCTCATTTCCCTTCTCCTCAGGTGTTAAGTCGGGGGCAAAAGGCCAGGTGTGTCCATTTCTTAACATGACATCCGAATAGCTTTCATTCGCTTCAACGATGCGCGTAATAAGCCTAAGATCGTGTCTTTCTTCGAACATCTTATTGCCGGTGTAGTATGCATTGAGAGCATCTCGGACTAGGGCCTGGAATGCCTCGCTTATCTTGTTGAGGTACGCTCTCTGCGTGTGTTGATGGCCTCTCGATTGACCCATCTTGTTGAGCTCTGACCTTAATGCTGACAACTCCTTCGCAACATCCGCTTTGAGTTTTGGAAACTCCTTCTTGATAAGCTCGACAAGAAGCTCACGAACACGCTTCTTCAACGCTTCCACGCCAGCCCTTTCTGTATTCCGAAGAGATGACCAAGGGGCCTGGGAGAAGAACCTTTTCTCATCGGCCTGACCTTGTCTGAGTGTCTTATGTGCGTCGTCGGGACCGCGATTCTTGACGATGTAATATCCAAGCAAGAGGTCTCCCCTCCTGCCAGTAACGTGGTCGATGGCAATCTGCTGCATTGTGCTTTCAATTGCTAAGTCCGGTTTTGTCAGAACGGCCATAGTACGAGTCATCGAGGGATCGGCCTTCTTGGCTAGCTTCAATATTTCTTGTGTCGCCGGGTCTACGTTGCTAGGCATGATCGCTAATATACTTGAAAGGGGTAACTGTATTAGTTGAGCCCTGTTATTAGAACGTGGATTACAACTTACATAGTCCTCGGATCCTTCACTAAAGCGCCAAGTTAGTATGTTATAGCCTGGCTTTTGAGATCGTAGAGAAAACCAATAGAACATACTGTAATTCTTCACCATGTTCATGACGAGTTCTATATCAGCCTCGGTAGTGACGCCTAGATATTCGTCAGTATTGTTTCTGCGCGGTCGGTGTACTGATGAAAGAAAAGTCTCACCTTCAGTTTCTTTTCGAAAGATTCCAGGAACATCGATAACCGTGAAGTGATCCTCCTAGCGTTGTCATGTTAGCAATACGCCTCTTAGTATAGATGTTATATTACATCATAGGACTTACCTCTGGGCCAAGCTTCTCGATCTTAAGTATATGCTCACTGAATGCTGGAAGACTGGAACCATCGGGTGATGTAGACTTTGTAGAGCTCTTTATTCCCATGGCTTCATTTGCCTGCGAGCGATTGTTCAGTAGTAATCCATAAGACCTCAAGAATAACATTAACTGACCTCCATAAACAACTGAGCAAGACTTTCGGGGGTTATCGCTTTCAGGCTGCGGTGAAACTTTTTGATACGCGCCTGGTCGTAAGTAGAGGCTTCATCATGAGGGATGATGGAAACATGTATGCTCTCCTCTTTCTCGCGGCGACAGGTGATTTGAGTTGCGTAGCGTGTGCAGAGTTCTGCATCACGAGGAAATCCGAAATGGGTCAGACCCTCGAGCACTGAGCTCTTTCCTGATGATTGATCTCCAACAACTACGAGCTAGAAAATGTTAGCATTTTTATATCGAGTTTCTCTGGCGGTAGAAGAAAGAAACATACCTGAGGTAGGGCAATCTTGGTTCCGATAAGCTCGCGTAGCTTGTCAACTTTAGTTAGGATGGAGAGGTTTCCAAGGTTTGACTTCTCCTCGGACATGGTGCTCTCCTCGATGCTGCCCATTTTGAAGGACGTTAGTTGTGCAATCAGATGTGTCAAATGATTTGTGAAGTTGAGTTGTGCTGCAATTGTGGTGTTTTGGGTGGACAAGGTCACAGGTGTGAGTGTTTAAAAAAGTCGTAGGATGGGATACTTGGGTAAATATAGTTGCAGGAATACAAGAAAATTACCCAGGTACCTCAGGTACCTCAGGTATATTGTATCAAGTTGAGTAGCCCCTAAGGTTGCCTTGTTAACATAACCTGACGTGTATGCCGTATGCCTAGCGTTGGGTTAAGTGGCTGTTGTACTACATCTCATCGATTTGCGGGCAGAACCAACTGGCCATATTGAGGCCAAAGAGTTGTTGAAATTAATAGGCTACCGCACTAAGTACCTCGTAAGTAATAGCGAACTAAAGATTAGCTTGCGAGCCTCAGACGCCTTAATCCCGTTTGCACGAGTGGTTATTTGTTAAGGTTGTAATGTGATATGTAACATGTCAATAATATCCTCGAGGAGGCAAGGCAGTTTTCACAACAGCTCACTACCAGGCATATCGTATAGTTCAGGTACTTAATCTTCTATGCTGTAGCAGTGGCTTCTTCTTGGGACTACGAGAATCCTAACGAAGCGTTATCTTATACCTAAGTGTATAGATTTGCAACCGGGTTCACGGCTGGGACTGTATCACAGCCACCGGACAAGGCGCCATGCCGCGCAACTACTCCAACAAGCAAATAAGGTACCTAACCTAATCGTCACAGGATTACCAGATGTTATTTAACCAATAGGGTAGGAAAAAAGCAGGTGTGTTTCAGGGAGACCGGCGTGGCGGCAGCTGCAGCCTGCAGCTAATCCTAAGTCGAGAAGGTACGGCTGAGGATTAAACCTCGCACTTGCCCGAAACTATTAGTTGTATTATTTAGGTTTAGACCCGCTATCCTGACAGTGTCGGTAGTTGACTTCAATTCTTAAGGAATGCATCTGAAAAATGCATCTGAGAAAGGGCACGAACCTAATAGTTGCCAACACATTTATATTTCTAGGCCCATTCGTAACGATATAGCTAGTTCCCGTCCCTTAATTCCTAAACCAAATCATAGCATCCGTGACATATGTAACGGTAGTAGTTATACACTATTTCCATAGCTAAGGCTGCCTACCTAACTAGGATATTGAACTGCGTCCCCTTCATAAATAAAGGAAGGCCTATGTAAGGGACCCAATCGAGATGAACTAGAGAGCCTTTTCTCTTGGACCAGTAACCTTCTCGAAAGTCTCCAAGGCCATCGTCAAGGTATGCCGTCCCTGGGTCTTTCCCCTGAGCTGGGTATCGTAGTCGAGCATTTCAACAAACGGTACCCGAGCCGTAATCTCCAGCATCCGCAGGCGGCCTTTCCGCGTCTCCCGAAGAGTCGTTTGGAACTCGTATGGGTCTGGCGGGGCGTAGATATTGGATACGTTGACAATATCGCCTTCTTGAGCTTGGGTTTCTTGCATATCCCTGACTTCGAGGACGTGCCCCCCACGACCTGTGTGTATGTCGTGCTGAACGGCACCGGCTGACACTTCGGGGCAGACGATTGTGACCCTCATAACTGGCTCGAGGATACCAATCATGCCTTGCTGGTGCGCTTCTTTAAGGGCCGACCTTACTGCTTTATTCGCTGCACCGACCAGGTGCGAGCTTGGAGTTGAGCTGGAATTGATCGAGGCATCATACGTGACTGTAACAAGGCACTGATGCATTGGTGAATTGCGGCGAGGACCTCTCGCAAGTGCTGCTATTACACCATTCGTGAGATGTTGCCTTGTTTCCTCAATGTTAGGCACGAAACCCTCTTTTGGAAACACGACCTGAATGATGTTGCCATCTCGCTCGAGGTAGGTTCCTGATAACGTATCGTTATGATCCTCTTGGAGAGGCTCAATTACTACAGAACATGCCGCCTTACCAGATTTGCCTGCTACCACCCCATCGAAAACAGCTTGATGAGGGGCTGTCGGCGCAGTTAAACACTCTTTGTAGTCAACGGAGATTTCGCCCCAGTATGCCTCGGCTTTATAATGGTTCTCCAGACGATCACGCGCAACTTCTAAGTGAAGCGTACCCATCCCAGAGAGCGTGTATTGCTCTGTTTTTTCATCCTTAGACCACCGCAGACTCGGATCTTCCCTAGAGAGATTCTCTAAGGCCGTCTCGAGAGCCTTTGCACCAGTCGGGTTGTACGCATCGAGAACAATAAAAGCCACAGCGGGAGGTATTTCAGGCGGTCGTACTTGTATAGTAGCAAGTTCCGTCTGTGGTGCTGAATTTGAATTGAAAGCAAGTAAGGTGTCTCCCGTCCTCGCGGCCTTCAGGCCCGTAATTGCACCTATTTGCCCCGGAGCTAGGTGAGGTATCTCGATGGTCTTCCCTGCCGATATTTGCATCATGTTGAGAGAGCTTTCAAATTGCTGGAGATTAGCATTCCACGTGCGGGTGTTTTTCTTGAGAACACCGTAGTAGACCCGCACAAATGTGAGCATTCCTCGACGGGGGTCGTTAACTACTTTGAAAACCGACGCCAATGCTTCGACACGCGGCGGAGGCTTTTTAGAAGGCTTCGGTGCTTGAATGACGTGGCTAAGGGGTTGATATGTTCGACCTACCCGGACTTCGAGCTCGGGACGATCTGAAGGACTAGGCAGATAGTCTATGATCGCATCAAGTAGAGCAGCAACGCCGATATCTTTCAAGCTAGATCCTGCAAAGACGGGTATTAAAGATCCATCGCCGGTATTAACAACACGGCGAATACTCTCTTTGATAGCTGCGTCAGGCAGGTCATTTCCGTGAGCAATCCATAATTCCATTAGCTCATCGTCTTTCTCGCAGAGTTGTTCAATCAACCGCTCCCGTGCGCGTTCGATCTCATCCTTGATTGTACCCTCAGGTAATTTTCTTGATAGTTCTTCAGGGGCATCTTTGGTTCCCATCCAACTGACAACAGAACGACTGATTACATCTACTATGCCTTTTACAGTCTCATTTTGCCACCAGGGTATCTGACAGACTAATGGCATGCCGTTGAGCTTCAGCCCGATGTCTTGCACGGACTTCTTAAAGGAGGCACCATCGCGGTCGAGTTTATTAACGAAGACAATTCGAGGCACTTTAAATTCTTGAGCAGATGACCAGACTCTCTCTGTGTGTGCCTCAACGCCTTCGACTCCGTCAATGACGCATACGGTCCCGTCGAGAACGGGTATGCAGCGCTCGACCTCAAATCTAAAATCCACATGGCCAGGGGTATCAATCAGGTTGATGATATATTGCCGACCATCTGCGTTTAGGCGTTCTTTTGGTGGCCAGTTGAAAGTAATGGCAGCAGATTGGATTGTAATTCCTCTCTGTCTCTCCATTGGCAAGAAATCGGTCACAGTGTCTCCCTGATCAACGTCTAGGGTACGCATCAGTCATAATATGTCAGGACGAACGTCTACTTGACTTGTTTCCTCTTTCTTCAAGGGCACTTAGACATAGATTATACATGGCTAATAACTTACTTCCTGCACGTTTTAAAGCACCACAATTATAGAGCATCTGCTCTGTAGTAGTTGTTTTCCCCTATATAGTCGTGAGTGTTATGGTCTATAAGATAATACTTATATCCATAAGAGACATACTGCATCGACGTGGGCAATGATACCTATATTTCGGACATATTCAATTCCAGTGTCCCGGGGAGTAGCTGTATGACTCGAGAGCCGTCTGACACTGAAGCGTGTGCTTCCATAGTGCCTTAAGTATGTTGACGAGAATATAGCCAACTGAGAGCGCCCCAGGGGAGCTCGGCACGTGAGTGCGAGTAAGCTCATACCCGCAGATTCCAAGAAGCGAATGCAAGGTTCATTACTAGGTAAACTACCGAAAGCTGGCAATGGATAGACTCGGTTTTCTATAAGCTATTCGGCTCGCGTAGCTTCCTGTCGTTGCAATTAACTTGTTGTCGGAGTTGGAGAAGTTTAGGTGCCTAAAAAGAAAAATACCTAGGTACCTATCATATAATTCTCTTGCAAAAAGCATTGCAATTCAGTACAAAAGTGCACAGACCAATGAAGTAGAAGTCGCTAAGCAAGGGATAACACTGTAACCAACAGCTGATAACGCACGGACCAGTGCTTAAGTTCCTAATGTATTTCGTACACAGCTACATTTTAGGGTAGGTGCATACAAGTAGTACAGTACCTAGACATAGGCAGACGGCAGGATTCCCCACCGATGATGATTTTAGTTCTATTATGTACTTGCGAAGGCAGCCCGTATCCCGACTTCATTATCCTAGCTTCTAAGTCATTGCTTGCTCTCAGTTAGTTTTGATGAACTAGCTCGAACATTGAGGTTGCAGTTTAGACCTGCAAATACAGATTATTACAATCAGCCATTGCCGCTCAGTAAATTTTGTGGAATGCGACCCCTTATCTAAATCTATCCTACTCTCCCGCTGGACCTATCAACTTCTTCCAGCCTTTCCTCCAACCGCCACTCTCTTTCAGGACGCAATGGATTACCGCTCTACGATAGTCGATGATGAGCATCCCGCAGGCGCTTCCCCTTGGGGATCATCATCACCCGCGGCCTCACCGCGCCATAACGAATCTACCTTCAGCTCTATAGGCAACGAACCACCGCCGTCCTTACCATATCAATATACAGCCAACGACTCGAGCAATGGATTCGCGCATGATGACCCAGGCGTTAACGCTTTCAGACGGCCAGACACAGCCAGTAGCACGGCTTCTACGTCAGCGTATGATCCCTCAGAGCAATCAGCACCCTCGGAAGGACAACAGGAGCAGCCTACCGAAGCCGACGCGAAGCAACCTCAGCCTCAGCCTCAACCGAGCACACCGCCGAAATCGCAACCCCAAGTAAGGTCAAGAGGCCCTCAGTACAAGTTGCAAGCAAAGATCACAGGATTGGAGCGCACGGGTCGCAAAGATCCCATCTTGAGATTCGACGTACATGTAGGTTTCGACGTTAGGAGTCTTTGCGCCTTATAATACTAATTTCTCTAGACAAATATCCCTAAGTTCCGAACTACCCAATTCCGCGACGTCCGCCGTTTACATTCCGAGTTTGTTAAACTCGCTGAACACCTCATATCTGCCAACCCCGATGCCCTAGTCCCGGCTGTGCCGCCTTCGGTTACATCGGCAGGCGCCGGAACCGACGAAGACGAGTCGAGGGTAAAAGCTCTCATGCAGAGATGGTTCAACTACGTGTGTAGTAATGAGGTTCTTATGAGAGATGACGAAATGGTTTTGTTTGTGGAAAGTGATTTTGGGTATAGTCCCATGGTCAAGAAGAAGCAGCCAGCAACAGGTGTACGGAGGAAAGTATTGAAGCAATTTGCACCACCCCCCGACGACACGCCGGAGCTAGCAGAAGCACGACCAATAGTGAAGCTATTCTATCTAGGCTCGATGGATGCGGGACACAAGGTTGACAAACTCGTCAAGTCCCGTAGAGGTACGTCTACTCTTTTCTACGAGATTATCAGTAGTTAACATGGCAATTAGGCCTAGGATTGTCAGAGTCCGATTTCGGCGTCAAAATTGGCGCAATGCACATTCAGGAGCCGCATCAAGGTCTAGCAAACGCATATCGGAAACTCGGCAAGATCGTGCAGACGGTGGGTGACTATCATGCAGCCCAGGCGACTGCCGAAGCAACGACCCTTAGCGACCCGTTTCAGTATCACTCGCAGGATGCCTTCATCGTCAAGGAAACGCTGACGAACAGGCAACTGCTCATTCGCGAATTCCTACAAGCTCAGGAGACCACGAGGACCAAGCTTAACGCTGCAGACAGGCTAAGAGCCAGCAACACCGTGCGACGGGACAAGGTAGACGAGGCCATCACCGCTCTAGACGAAGCGAGAAATGTCGAGCTAGAGCTAGCGCAGAAGACAACGAGAGTAACGCAAACGCTAGTGCAGGAGCGTCGTAAGTGGTTCGCGAGAACCGCCGCGGATCTGCGCCTGAGCATCCGCGAGTTCGTGACTCGCGAGATCGAGGCGGAGCGGCGCACCCTCGCGCTCCTGGAGAGCGTTCGGCCCGATATCAGAGCCATCGATGCCTCAGGCGGCCTAAGCAGACTAGGGCGCGAAGCCCACCCAACAATCCGCCGCGCCAGCCTTGCAGCAAGCCAGGGACCCAAGGGCGACTCTTGGAGCGGCGTGCCCCGGCGCACGGACAATAGGAGTATGTCGGGTAGCTTCATGTCCAACGTGGCCGAGGACGACGACGGAGAGAACGCGCAGCACCCGGGGTCGAGGGCGCTCAGCGGCACCACCATTAATCCGAGCCTGGCCGGCCTTACAGAGGAGGATGACGAGGACCGCGTGGACGCCAGAAATGCTGCGAGCCGGTTGGCAACGAGCACATTCTAAGATGTTGGCACAAACGAAACTGACTTATCGGGGAAGCGGGTTACTAATAAGAGCCGGAATCGCCCCCTTTCCCCTCACCGCAACGAAGAAAAACTTTTGTCGTCGTATACCTATGTAGTCATTGTATGTATGTACGTGGGATATTCCCCTCCCATAGCCCTTGATCCCAGAGCAGTTTTTTTTTTCGGCGTCCAATGAAATCAGAAGCGTAGCTTGCATGCTTGCCCCCCTTGGCTAGTTGGTCTCTTCTCGCCTGTTCCTCGGCCGTGGTCCTAAAAGTTACAGATCAGATATGTGCCTGGTAAGGAGCAGCAAACCCTTACGACGCCTTGGTGTCACCCCGAAAGTAGGATCATATTCCGAGCACGACCGGACGTAGAAAAGCTTGCTTGGCTACCGTTTCGGTGCGACGGTATCTGCGGTGCCCAGCCGCACTACGGTAGTATGGGCATGCAAGATACGGCGCTCGCAGTAGCCTGTTTCATGCGGCCGTCGCTCATGCACGTTCATCAGGTTCTCGTCAGATCTTTCTGGACGGCCGGTATTTCCTATATAGTGCGTATCTGCAGCTCACACCAATATGGAACTATAAGGTGGCAAAGATTTTTTTTGGTGATTCACCACCAATCAATCCTCGTGTAAGCCTAGAAAGATCAATATAATTATGTGCCGGCACGACTATCCTCTTCGTATTCTTGCTCTCTTGATGTGAAATTCATGTATAGCGTCATCGGGTAACCACATGGAATGCAGTATATAGTATCGTCGTACCCCCGCTGCCTTCGAGAGCTCGGATCATCGTCTTCTTGCTTCGATAACCGTGTAGGAGAGCTACACAAGCTAGACATGCATGCATAGCATATTTCCTATGCATACTAACCTTTAGGTTAAAAAACTTCGATCTAATGTGTTAAGCTTTACAATCTATATCCGTGGATATATCGTCAGACCTAACTGTTTTTGCCTCCTCAGCCGAAAGTGGACACTGCTGCATATAGTTGGCACCGAGAGTTATGACGAAGCTGAGCCGATCATGATTTCCATAGCCTGCCGGCAGTCTCGATGTTGTTGATCGTGGGGTTAAGTTGGGGGGGTAGTGCGTAAAACTACCAAAGATGGAAGCATGGAAACAGAGGCAGCGGCAGCGGCAGCGGCAGCGGCAGCAGTAATTCCATAACGCAACTCCTAAATGGACGCTATACTAAGTGGCGATGATGAATATGCGTAGTCACATACTTCCGGCTATACCAATATCCAACAAGGTGCAGATATGCTTTACATGCCTGCATACACTTACTTGCGTTAGGGATACTAATAAGATATAGAGTATAGGGTCATATGCAGCGCCTCCCTGGACAATTGGCGTATACATACCAGGTATGTACACGTACATGCACGGCCATGCTACTGGTACTGTGGTATATCGTTTGCTTTTATCGGCTTCGTTGCTACTTCATTAAGATGCCGTTGGAGCCATGGTGTTATAGCGTTATCCTTAAGAGACAGGTATATTCACGATCCAAATGTAGCCATTCGATCCATGAGGTGGCTGATTTACTACGCATTAAGGCCTTTAGCCGGCCCGAAATTCGCTAGCTTGCGATGCTGTCAACCTCCGTTCGGGGGTGAACGCTTAGCAAGCGTCATAGCAGACATCCTCGCATCATTCATGTAATACGACACAAATGTGGTATGAAACCTCTTGAGAGAGATGTAAGCGGGATAAAAATAACTCCAGGTATGTCAAGATAAGCACCAAAGGCTAGAGAACTGTGCGAGGACATGCATAGTAGCTTTGTAACCCGCTAATGCTGGGTAACCTACCCTGGACCTCAACGTCGGTAGTTCGACATCATCGTATTTAAGTAGTCGATATGGCCAAAGTCGGGGAGTTAAGTAGTGCTGGCCCGGTCTTGTGGGTAGGATGTAACTCTGTATAGGACACCCAGGTTGTATAGCAATCCTTTAGCTAGAAGACTGGGAGACTGGGATTGTATCAACCTTAACCGTTGCGTTATCAGCGTGTAGCTTGGAATGCTCTGGAGTAAAACAGACTATTATCAGTAGGACCGGGGTAAATATACTTCACCATCGAAGAGCCATTTTGAGCACAAAGCTTAGCTGCGCGACGACCTATCACAACCTCAGCGAGATCGGTCGACATGGCCTACGGGCGTTTCACGGCGTCCTTTCTGTTGGATAATGGTGTATGGAGAAGACATGCTTGCAGTTCCGAGAAGTTCTAAGCCCGTCCGTCGTCTTACAACTTGACGTAGAGAAGCTTATTCAACCCTACCGCCGAAATTGCTCCCGAAAGCCCCGTCGCGTTGCATGTGCGTAGCCTCATGGATCTTGAAGATCCATTTACGGAGTAATAAGACAGCTTGTAATATGCCTAGCTTCTTCGGAAAACAGGGTAAACAAAGTAGCAAAAGACGGTGTATTGCTAGGTCTAGACCAATCTTAGAATATTAGGTACTTTACCCACACGCTCATGGTGAAAGAGCTGGATGTATGATCTCCAATTTCTCCAATTCTGTCCAGCGGGACGGAACCCCTCAAAACAGTCAATTGGGGCAAAGGGACTAATTTCATCACCTATCTGTCGAAGATTAGCAAAATATGATAAGATACTAACTGCATGATACCGTATGTAGTAAAGGGAAAAGCATTCCGGCTTCCGAAATGACTGTCGACAAAGCTCAATTGGCTACATAGAGGCGCGCCCAGAATTCCGTCAATGGACAGACAGATCTGCGCAAAACCGAGTCACAGTAACACGACATGGCCCCAGCAGTTGATCACCACTTGGGTGCAGGAATACCGGCCACAACTCCGAACTAGTTTCGAATCGGTTGCGATAATGGTGTTTCCTAGAGCTGACTCCCAATGGGACGCGAGGGGCTTCTGTACCTTCTGCCGACGCTGGCAATGCTTTTCTTTTCTTTTCTTCTTTCTTGCATGTCGTAGTTTTGCAGAAAATTTGATGGAACATGTGAAAAATGATATCGTGGTTCCTGTGGTACGAGAGAGTTGCAATATGCGGCTTAGGTAGGGAGCATACTATATTCATGCCGTGTCAGTGCCAAAAACAAGTCGACGACACTCAGGCACACGGCATGGAACTGTAATTCTGATAGGTAGAACATAAGCATTAACCAACGTGTGTAAGCGCATCATGGCCAAGCTATGATGGTGCAATAGACGAAATCTAGCCCACATCGCTCAAGCATGTGGTTCGACCCTAACCTACGTATGTAGTTGATAATGTCGAAGACTTGGTACACAATACTATAGACAGGGGATGCTCCTTTCGTTGCGCTCGTTTGTTGCCGTCCCTGCTGCCATGTGCGAGCATCTCGCTGCAGGCCCGGGGGTAGCGGCAAAATAGATTCTTGGAGAAGAATCGCATAGACGAGTTCGTAGCATGACAGCGTGCTCCTAGGCTAATAGTTCCTTAACGGACCTAGCAAGAGACGTCTAGGCCCTTAAAAGCCGATCCTTTAGTTGAATGGATAATTCAAGTCCTATTGACGATAGTTATAATACGATAGGAAGTTGTTGGTTCTTAGGTAGGTGGTAGTAGAAGACAAGTTGGGAACGGACAGAACATTTAACTTAAGTGGTAATGATGTTCCACCACGTTCCACCGAGCAAGTTAAAGATTATTGGATGGCAACGACGTTTTTAACTTCAATGTTCTTGACGGTTCTTGGGACGACGTTCCTTCCTAGCTCCGGGATCATTAAGCTATCTAGTATATATACATATGAAACTGGTTATCACATTCAATGTTATTATTGGAAGGCACATACATGGTAGGCAAAGTATATGTATCTTGCCTAGGTAGGTAGGTGCAGTGCATACTCAAAGCTTCGAGGATGCCCCGATTAGGAAATCCAAGCTCCGCTTTTGAATTCCATTTTCAATTTTCATTCCCTACATCTTCTCTTACCCTCACCACTCTTACTCTGACATGCTGTAAGACACCTATTCTGATCGATTGCATGGACCGAGGGACAGTCCCGTATGTTTGGAAATCATATATCCTTATCTGTATTGGACTAACTCGATATCCCAGGATTTCAGGGTCTTCAGGATTTCAGGGTCTTCCCCAAATCTTTTAATCTAATTATCTCATGAATTTTTAATATCAAGATGACGGCGAAATACCTCCCATCTCTTTTAGTCAGTCTCTCTAGAACCAGTCTAGCCTCTCCTGACGCAGTGTTGGTGGAGTTATCGATCCCGCTAGCCCTCTTCGAGTCCTGTCTAAGGAATATTCAGTCCCTGATCCGAAGCCAGTACTGATTCAATCTCGACCCAATGTCGCGCTTAGGAGACACTTCCGAATTCGCCGCATCGAGAGCTGCTTTTCACTTCCTAGAGTAGATACTAGATGGTATCGATACTTGCCTAGGTATACTGCACACACACCTAAGAAGGACAGATTACAGTATATCCAGTTTTTCACGGAGCCATAGCTATACTACCATCTCAATGGGGCATCTCAGCTACTTCTCTACATACGTCGAGAAGCATGAGGAGGTCGATGGTTGGCATGGTGTGAAGTGCAACCATGTGCCGTAAATTGCGATTTCATACATACGTGATGCCACGTCCTAACTTGCCAGCCTTGTCTGCAAGTATAGTTGGTATTGGATGTATAGGTACGGGATATGCAAGAATGCATGCCTACGACTACACCACACCCATACGCGAGGCGCCATCAGGGATCTCGTTACCGAACTTGATATAGTCGCATCATTGCTAGCTTCTTGCATATGATTTCCCGAGATTGTGAAATCTGCTCTATGCTTTTTGAGATAACTTGTTGACGTTTGACTGGGTCTGGAAAAATTCACACAATGCCTTACATGACCCTGGCTTCTACTCTGACACCAGGATCTACCCTAACGATAATTAACATAGATGTACGCAAGTAACTTATTGTGGTGTTTTCCCATACCTCAATACATAAAGGAGTGGGGGTCCTCGCG